AGTGAGACTCTGTCTCAAAAAAAAAAAAAACAAAAAAAAAAAAAATAAAAACAAAAAAAACCAAGGAAGATTAGAAAAACTATCAAAATATATTTGCTATCACTTGGTCTATTCATGCTATCTGTAAACATGTAAGATTTGGAATTTGATTATGTGTTGAAAACAATGTTTTTGCCAAATGAGTTGGGAGCTGAATCATTCTAGAAAAAGAAAAAAAGAAAGAAACAAATATTAACAGTCATGAAATTTTAATTACAATGGAATTATTTTTTCTTTAATAATGGAAAATAAAATAAGCCTTTTTTCTTTTTAAAGTTATTTGCTCACTAGTAATGAATTGGAATATATCAAAAGTAAATTAAGAATAATTCTGAGTGTCATCATTACTTATCCCTTTAGTTAAAACCCAGAGATCCACTGTGCCACAGACCAGGTCCTACTGTTAAGTGATAACCAGGAAGAGTTACGACTGGATGGGACCTGTGTGGCCTATGGCCTGTGGCCTGTGCTTCAGTCGTCTCTTCCAGCACCAAGTGCCAAGTTTTACTGTGTGAAGCTAATCTGACAGGTTCCTGTCATTATTTTGTATTCATTCCAATAAACCCAACCTCTTGGGCCCTTAATGCCACCACTGTCAGTCAATCCACACTCACTGAGGGCCTCAGAGCCTGCTGCTGTGCGTCCCATCCAGCAGCTTCTCACCGGCGAGACACCAAAGGACAGAGACCAGTGCCTTTCCTTGATGGCTGAATACAGCTCTGCTAGGGAGATAGTCATTTAACTGTATCGGGGAGGGGCCAAGCATGGCACAGAAGAGGTTTCAGCAGGCCCACCTTCACCTGGAATTCAAAAACACCACAAGCTGGCACAGTGGCAGCTACTTGGGAGGCTGAGGCCAGAGGATCATGGGTTGCATGGTCAGAGATGATCTCAGAAAAACAAAACTAAACAACCCTCATAAGTACCAAGGCTTCCTTACAAAGGAATGATGTCCATCAAAGTGAATACTCAACTCTGAAGAGTGAATTTTAATGGTAAAGAGAACTCTTTCATATCCCTTTTTTTAGTGACAAGCCTGTGGGGACCCAGGATGAGATGGAGGTAGTGGGTATGTTGACTTATTTTACTTTCTTGCACCACAGTTGCAGAAAGAACAGACCAAATGGAACAAACGAGTCAGATTCTTCTTTTCTTTTCCTCTCTCCCCCCTCTTTCTGCATTGGGTTAGAGTATTTAATATTTAAAAAAAATGATCCTGGAGTTCTTAAAACCAGGACTTGCGGGGGGGGGGGGGTGCACACAGAACATAAAGGAGGCATTGCCATTCCTTCAGGGACACTGCAAGGCCACTCAGGGTGGGGCCCCTTTTCCCGGAAACAGAGAACAGACCACAGTGGAATGCAACACAGGAGGGAGGCAAGGACGAAGGTGGGAGGAGGGGAAGTGCATCTGTGGGTTTGGAACATTTTTGCACCAGGCTCTTCAGCCCCTCCCCTGTGTGTGAGGATAGAGCAAAGGACAGGGGGCTTCGGGGCATGAGGGAGGGGCTGTCCTTAAATATCTGGTGGTGGCATTGTCCTCAGCTCACCAAGAGGACTCAGAACAATGTGACTCCTATTAGAAATGAGAACAAGTACCTATTGTTTAGGCTTAAACAGCTCTGAGTGTTTCTTCTAGAGATAATTAATTTAATTAAAATGGTCCCTGAAGCCAAACCGAGCTTTATACATTCCTTCTAAATTCTTTCCAAACAGGCCTATTCAGAGTTAGCAGGCTATGAGCCCTGCGACTCACTGGTACTTGTGTTGGAACAGAGGCCTGGGACAGTGTCTTCCTTGACTGGGGGAGTGGCATTCATTAGTTCTGATATAAAGAAAAGATGGCCTTTGGTCTGTAGAATTTGCTCCAAAATGATGTGGGCATTTTATTCCCTATGGTTCAAGGAAGAAGACAATTTCGCTTACTGACTGCATCCAAATCAAAAGTCCACTGCACAGCCTCAGTACATGGTGCTCTATGAATGAGTGGATAAATGAATGAAAACCTTTTGGTTGGGAATAGACTAGCTTTTTGGCCTGTTCTCTTCTGGAGTAAGTAAACTGGGTAGCATTTGGTCTTAGATCTACGCTACCAAACTGTTGTGCACCTGACAGGGTACATAATAAGACATGGTGGCACTCAATAATAGCTGATTTATAGTGGAAATTTTCAAAACATTTATTCCAAGCCATGAGGCTGGCATAGGTAGGGAGGCTGAATGTAAGGGTACTTTGGCAAGGAGGCTGTGGAGTTAGGGACTGTGTTCTTGGCTGCCTCCCTTTCTTGTGACTTGATCATAGGCATTTCTTTAGACTTTCTCCTGGCTCTGTTTCTTTGTAAAATAAGGATAATATTGGGCCAGGGAGTTAGCTCAGTGGTGTTGACACCTGCCTTACAAGTGCAAGGTCCTGAGTTCCATCCCTGGTACCAAAAAAAAAAAAAGGATAATATACAACCTAACACATTTTTTTGTGAAGTTTAAGCAAAGTATTTCACTCATTCAGCATGTATGGAATGCTTGCCATATGCCAGGCATTGTTCTTGGTGTTTAGGGTGCATCAGTGAACAGACTAAAGATCATTGTTTTGGCAGGGAATGGTGGCACATGACTTTAATCTCAGCTACTTGGAAGGCTGAGGCAGGAGGATTAAAAGTTTGAGACCAATCTGGGCAGCTTAGTGAGATCTTGCCGCAAAATAAAAAAGGTCTGGAGATAGAGCACAGTGGTATAGTGCTTGCCTAGCATTTGCTGCATTTGATCTTCAGTACTACATTAAAAAAGAAAGGCAGAAGAAAGCATTATATGTTTGACACTTACAGTCTAGTGAGGGCAGGGAATGGAAAGCAAGCAAACACACACATCAAATAAAAAATACATGATGTTTTAGACATTCCACATGCTAGGAAAGCAGCAGTGCGGAGTCAGAGTTGCAAGGCCGAGCTGGAGGCCATGGAAGACTTGCATAATGGGTACACAGGGAGGCTCTTGAGCAGGTGATGGTTTGGCAAAGGGTAAGGGACCAAGCCACGTGAGCATCTAAAAACAGAATGCACAAGGCAAAAGCACACATCAGTACAAAGGCCAGAGGGTGGGAGTGTGCCCAACACATTTGAGAGCAAGGAGGGAAGACATCAGTGTGTCTATAGCAAGAGAAAGAACTGCAGAACCAGATGTGCAGGACCTAGACAGAGGCCATCGTCAGAGCTGGACAGAGGGGGAGCTGTCCTATATGTGTGGCTGGTGTGGTAGCTTCGGGAGAAGCGCCTGCAGCACTGATGGTGGAGGAGGTTGCAGGAGGGCTGGGTTGAGTGGGCACAGGGCTCACAGGAGCTCCAACACGGACTGGCAAAGGCAGACGTGGTGATAGTGGGGGAGTCTCTGAGGTTTTCTTCTGTGTCTCAATCTTGTTAGAGATGTAGGTAGAGAAGTAATCAGCTGAGAGGGGGCACTGAGGGAAGAGAAAAAAGTATGAACTGATCCATAAGAGAGTGGAAGGGTGAATGGAGGAAGAAAACACATAGGTTGAATTTTCTTTATCCAAAAGTCCAAAATCTGAAATGCTCCAAAATCCAAAACTTTTTGAGCACCTATGTGACACAAAAAAAATTTCAGAGTTTGGATTTTTAGATTCTGGATGCTCAACCAGTAAAGTTTACACAAATATTCCAAAATCTACCTATCTCTGAAACCCGAATCACTTCAGGTCCCAAGCATTTTCAGGAATATTCAGCTTGCACCATGAATGCCAGTCTACAGCAAGGGCAAACTTCCAGGTTCAGGATCTGGAGCTAAAAAGGAGGCCAGCTGGCAAGACAGGTTTTCTGATACATTCAATGACTCAGTACAGGCAGAGGTGGGGTGGGGTGGGGTGGGGTGGATTTCCCAGGCAGGTGTGACAAAGTGAGAGAAGGGTCAAAGTTGGAGGGATTCTCAAGTAATCCCGTAAGAATTGACAAAGGCTGTCAGCAGGGGAAGGAGAGAAGATAGTCTTTGTGTGAAGAAAAGGTTGGAAGAGCCAAGAGAGGGTAGTCTGTGGTCTAGGAGGATTGGAGAGTTGGGGTTCTGGAAGGAGTGAGGTGGAAAGATGGGGGAGGCAAGGCTGGAGCAGAATATGTTGAGATGCTGAAAATTCTTCTAAAATTTTAGGACAGTCACTGATGCACAGCAAATGCTTGGAAATTGATGCCAGTCATTAGGGATTGATAAAACTTTATCAAGATCCTGGAGACCAGAGATGTCTTGTATTACAGAGTTTCCTCTGATTGCAGAAGACCCTTGCATGTGTCCACTTCCCATGGGGCTTGGAACAAATTCTGTCATCAAATGTAGCACAGTCTTCAACAAAAACTGGAATGTTCATATGACATGGGAGTCCAAGTCTCATGTAGACTACATTCGGATGTTTAATAAGTTTGGGTCCCACATTTTAAAAGCAAACAAACAGCACTGGGTCTTGAAAGAATCTGAGATTTCAGAATTGAAGACAAGAGAAGGTGACTGACCCTGTCCTGACATTTGACAAAGCACTGTGAACTTGGGGAAATTCCTTCATCCCTCAAGATGTTAGTTATTTCAGTGTGAAAAAGAGGTCTTTGAGTTGGAAATCTCTGAGCTACTCTTCTGCTCAACGTTTTGTAATTCCTTGATACCTGTCACTAGAATTTCAAAAACAAACTGCTTTATTAAAATAAATTTTTTTTGTACTGGGGATTAAACCTAGGGTACACTATCACTGAGCTACATCCTCAGCCCTTTTAATTTTTTAATTAATTTATTTATATATTTATTTTGAGGCAGAGTCTCTCAGCTCAGGCTAGCCTTGAACTTCACTATGTAGCTCAAGCTGGTCTCAAACTTGCAGTGATCTTCCTGACTCAGCCTTTAAGTGGTGTAATTACAGACATGTGCTACCTTTTGAGACAGATCTCACTAAGTTTTCCAGGCTAGGCTTGAACTTGCGATCCTCCTGCTGCAGCCTCCCAAGTATCTAGGATTTCAGGTGTGTGCCACCATACCCAGTTACTAATAAATTCTTCATAAAACTATTGGATAAAGAGGCTAAGCCCAAATCTTGTATTAATAAGTGGATTTACTTTAACTGAACTTATAGTCCTCCTCAAACTGATACTATCAAAAGAATTTAGAAATGTTCATATTTGTTAAGAGCTCTCTACCAGACAAAACGACCTCAAAGGCCCTACATTCTAAAATGGCTCCCCTTCCTAAAATGGTTCCCGCTTATGGAAATGAGCCACTTTGGAAAAGTGAAACCTACTCCCTCTGGAGAAGCAAAACTTAACTTGTTGCTCCACCCTGCTACCCACGTGATCCTCCCCTTCCAATCAGCCGGAGTCCCATTGCCCAACTCTCAAGATACTCTCCCAGCTGCACCGCCCTATATAAACCTCACCCCCAGTTAGTCTCCTTCTCTCTCACCCATAAATCCCTGCCTTGGATGCTCCTGTATCGGCTTGTTTTCTTTCATTCTGGTGCTGAAACTCCAGAAGGCAATGGTCGGGTTTTCTTGACAATCTCCCGCTGGCCGGGGTTGCTGACACCCCCAATCCACATCTGTGCCTAATCTCTGGGTGAGTAGTCGGATCAGCCTTCCTGCCTTCCTGCCTGCCTTCTTTCTTTCTTTCCTTCCTTCCTTCCTTCCTTCCTTCCTTCCTTCCTTCCTTCCTTCCCTCCCGCACCCCCCCCCAAATCCTAGCGCTAGGTCAGATGGACTCCTGGCCAGTGGCCACAACCGCCGACCTTGGAGGACACAACATCAGCGTGGCTCCTCGTTCTCTCTGCGGAGATCATCAAAAGGGATGAGGATGCTCCTCCCTCTTGCCCTTCTCCTTTGGAGCTATCTGATTCTCACCCTCTACACCAGGCCCTCCCTTGACATGGGAGCTACACAAGCGAAACAACACCGCTGGGATGTTTGTTAGCTAATCTCAAAACTCACAAGCTCGCAGGTGATCTGGAGTCTAAATGCCTTATCTTTTACTGCAATCGGGCTTGGCCCCAATGTAAATTAGACAATGATTCCCACTGGCCAAGAAAATGGAACATTCAGCCCAAACATTTTACGGGATCTTTACAATTTTTGTCAACGCAAAGACAAATGGTCTGAAGTTCCCTACGCCCATGCTTTCTCCTACCTTCTTACCCGTCCCTCCGTCAATCTTGCACTACCTCTCAGATTCTTCTTGCCCATGCCACGGCAACCAAGACGGCCATCCCTGCCCAGAGCCGGACTTTTCTGCCTTCGACTGGGCAGATCACTACCCTTTCGCTCGACCTCTTCCTCTCCGCCATTGTTGGCTCCTTCCTCGGGCTCTCCCTCCCCACAGGGATCTCACTTGCCACACCCAAAGCCGCCCAGCTCCTCCCCCTTCACCACACATCCGCTTTCTTCCTGCTCCTCCAGCCCCTCCCAAACAGGAGAGTGAGTTAACACCCCTGCCTCAGATGAGCAGCGACCCTCTACCTCTGTGTTTCCTCTTACCCTCTATTGCCATGTTATGCAAAAGGCTCCAAAGATAAATGAGACTTTTAAAGTGCATAAACCCACAGCTCTGCCTGCCCTCCCCTCCTCAACTTGCCCTGAGGAGAGAGGGAAGCAAGACAATACAAAAGAAAGTAAAATCCTCTCCTGGCCCTGCCTATTTACATATCAAAAACTTGTTTGGCAGGCTGCATTACCAAGAAATTTCATCGGGCCCTATTGTTTTCTACGTAAATATTGGAAAATAAAATACAAGGTTTTAAAACAATTCAAAGAAAATGTAATGCTTAAGATCGGAGCTCACAGACCAAATGCTAGGTTCTAGCCCAGTGCCTGCTACAGGCTGCTTCATATTAAAATCAGCTGTGATGTCCTGCTGGGCAAGGGAAACTTAAAAAAATCAAAAATCAGATTAAAAATTTCGGCTAATTTAAATTGACGTTTAATTGGTGTTTGTTTTCCAGATGTTTAATTGATGTATTTAAACCATTTCTCTTAGATTGCAAATTCTTGAATTGTAATTATAGGATTAACTTGACTCTACTTTCTGCTTATAGACTTCTGACAGTAACTATAACACAAGATTATGCTACTGTTAGAAAGTTCTTTTATTCCTTCTGATTCTAATTACAAGAGATCTGTTAATTGACCTACAAAAGTTTTGACTAGTCTTAATTAAAAGATGTTATTATAATTCAATTGGCCAAATATATTTGAATGCACTCTAGTTTCATAAATTGTCTTATATGTTTATCTGTATCTGTCCAGTTGTTTGTTTGTCCAATTGTATTTTGTTTTTGGTAACAGGGATTGAACTTGGGTCCTTGCGCTTTCGAGGCAGGCAGTGGCACCACTGAGCTAAATACCTGGCCCCTGTCCAATTGTTGTTTTTTTTTTCCCTATTAAGTTTATTGGTACATTTTAGGTATAAAATACAGTTACATACATCATGGGGATCTTGTACCATTACATGAGTATCTTGGTTCTTATTTTTTT